AAATACATGTCAAAATACGTTGAACACAGGCAAACCAATATTTTCTGAGGAATTCAAAACTTGAAATGCCTAGATTAGAAAAGCTGAAATATTATAACTTAACATGATTTAAAGAATTAAAAAATAATCATAGAAATTCACTGAAGGAAAGTAGACATGAGAAAGCAAGAAAAAGCCAGGTGTGGTGACACACACCTGTAATCTCAGCACTTTAGAGACTGAGGGAGGCAAGGACGGCTTCAAGTTCCATTGCTGCCTGGCTCAGAGAGAGAGAGGGAGAGAGAGGAAGAGAGAGAAAGAGAAAGAGAGAAAGGGGGGGGGAGAAGAAGAGAAGTAGCAGTAGTGGAGGAGGAGGAAGATGAAGGAAAAGAAAGAAAGAAAGATAGAGGAAGAAAGAAAAACAGAAAAGAGAGAGAAAGCAGGAAGGAAAAAAGCAAGCAGAAATTGGTGACATAGAAAATAAAAATTAAAAAGTTTTAAAAGAGAGCCAGGCGTGGTGGCACACACTTGTAATCCCAGCTGAGAGGCTGAGGCAGGAGGATCACTGCAAATTCGAGACCAGCCTGGGCTACAAAGTGAGCCCAAGACCAGCCTAAACTGCACAGTGAGATCCTGTCTCAAAAAGACAAAAAAAAAAAAAAAAAAAAAAAAAGTTTTAAAAGAAAATTCGTTCTTTTTTCTTTCTTTCTTTTTAAACGCAGGCTCTCAACCTGGGTGTGGCAGTATATGCCTATAATCCCAGCACTCCGAAGCTAAAGCAAAAGGGTTATGAGTTCAAAGTCAACAGAATATAGCAAATTCAAGGCCAGCCCAGAGGGCAAAACAAGAGCATGTCTCAGAAATTAAACTAAAGGACCAGGGATATAGCTCATTGGTGTGGCACCTGCCTGGCAAGCACAAGGTCCTGAGTTTGATTCCCAATACCCCCCCAAAAAACTAAACTAGTCTAGACTAAACTAAACTAAACTAAGCTAAATTTAAAATACATAATAAAGCCAGGATCTCACCTATGCATGAGTACCTGCCTGTAATCCCAGTACATAGCAAGACCTGTACATAGCAATACATAGCAAGACCCTGTCTCAAAATACCCAAGCATAGTAGCCCACACCTATGATCTCAGCACTCAGGAGGCTGAGGCAGGAGGATGGCTGAGAGTTTGAGGCCAGCCTGGGCTACATAAGCAAGTCCAAGGCTACCTGGTACTACTTAGCAAGACCCTGACTCAAAAAAAACAATCAAACAAAAGAAAACATGAGGCCAAAATAATACATAAAAGAAAAATCACTAGTCAATATAAAGACAAAATACCCGAACAAAAGTTTAGCAGATTAAATCACCAATTATAAAGAATGATATTATGGACAGCCATATTTAGTTTACCCAGAAACTGCCATTGTTAGCTTAACGTACTTATTTTTGACATTTATCATCATAACATATTAAGGGAGATAAATCACAAGATTGTATCAGTAGTCACAAAAAATTTGGATCTGCTTGCTTGTTTGCTTGTTTGTTTTGAGACAGGGTCTCTCTCTGCAGGGCAGGCTGGAACTCATGGTGAGTCTCCTGTTTTAGCATCCCAAGTGCTGGGATTATGGGGGTTTTTGTTTGTTTGTTGTTGTTTTTTTTTTTTTTTTTTTTTTTTTTTTTTTTTTTTGAGATAGGGTTTCTCTATACAGCTCAGGCTGATTTTAAATTCACTATTTGGCCCAAACTGGCCTCAAACTCATGGCAGATCTCCTGCCTCAGCTTCCTGAGTGCTGGGATAATAGGTATGCACCATCATGCCCAGTATAAAAAACTTGAGAAATTCAATGTGATCTAAGTAAAGAGAGAGAGAGAGAGAGAGAGAGAGAGAGAGAACCTAGTAAGCTAGAAACAAAAATTTCCTTAATTTAAAAACTGATATTGGGGACTGGGCATAAGCACCTGCCTTGCAAGCAGGTGGTCGTGAGTTGGATCCCTGGTACCGGTAAAAATGAAAAAGACAAAAAAAAAAAAAAAAAAACTGATATTTACAAAAATCCAAAGTAATTGCCATACTTAACAGTGAATTATTATAATTTCCTCTACATTCATCCAAAAAGTAGCTATTCTCATTGATTTGACATGTTTTTGAGATCCAAAAAATCATGAAATTAGGTAATACAAATGAAAGAAAAATCATGTTGTTTCTCAATTATGTGAAACACACCAATAGGAAATGTAATTAGAAAGATAACAAAATTGTTATCAGGAAACAACTCAATTAGATTTTTCAACACAACAACCAAACACAATTTAAAAAATATAATTTGTTAACGGCACCGAGAAGAATCCTAACAAAAAATATGCAAAGCCCTGCCAGGTATGATGGTGTACCCTGGGAGGCTGAGACAAGAGGATTGCAAATTCTCCCCAGTCTGGGTGGCAGGTCTCATTATGTAGTGCAGTCTAGCCTTGAATTTGCTTATGCAGCCAAAGCTGGCCTTGCACTCATGTGATCCTCCTGCCTCAGCCTCCCAAGTTCTGGGATTACAGACATGCACCACTACATCCTGCTGAGAAAGGACTCCTTAAATAAGATGTACTAGTAAAAACATAAACCCAAATTGAAAACGAGGTACAGTGGCCAGTGCCTGAAATGCCTCAGGAGGCTAAGGCAAGAGGGTTGTGAGTTTGAAGCTACCTAGGCTACACAGTTGAGTTCAAATCCAGCCTTAACTACGCAAAATCACCCTGTCCCACAAAATAAAATAAAAAATAAACCTGGCCATCATGGCATATACCTATAATCCCAGCACTCAGGACCTGAGACAGGAGGATCACTGTAAATTCAAGGACAACCTGAGCTACAAAGTGATTTCAAGGCTAGCCTGAATTCCACAGTAAGACCCTGCCTCAAATAAATAAACAAGTAAACACATCCAAACTGATAAATTCAACAACTTATCTTCACCAAAATTCAACACAAAAAAATGAAAAAGCAAGACTAAAACTCAGAGAAAATACCTACAACATGGACCAAGGAATAGTATTTACTCTACATCAAGAACTTAAGCAACAGAAAAGTGATCATAGGATGCTAACAGATATTTTTAAAAGGGAGAGCCAGGCATGGTGGTGCACACCTGTAATCCTGACGCTTATGAGGCTGAGGCAGGGGTATCACTGTGAGTTTGAGGCCAGCCTGTGCTACATAGTGAGTTCAAGACCAGTCCGAACTGCAGAATGAGACCCTGTTTCTCTTTCTCTCTCTCGCTCTCTCTCTCTCTCTCTCTCACACACACACACACACACACACACAAATATAAAGAAGAAATATATATACATATATAAAAAAGAAAAATATCCATATATAAAGGAAAAACATGAATGATACATAAATTAAAAAAATTTTAAAGGTCTTGAGCCTTATTAAAAATTAAGAAAATTTTAAAAAATAAAAATAAAAAAATAAAAAATTTTAATTAAGAAAATTAAAATCAAGAAATACCATTTTTCAAGCCAGGAATGGTGATGTATGCCTATAATCCAACACTTAGGAGGCTGAGGCAGGAAGACTGCCATGAGTTCAAGACCAACCTGAGCTACATAGTGAATTCAACGCCAGTCTGAATAACGCATTAGCAAGACCCAGTCTTTTTTTTTGGTCTTTTGCGTTTTTATTGGTATTAGGAATGGAACTCACGACCGCATACTTGCAAGGCAGGCGCTTATACCACTGAGTTAAATTCCCAACTCTGCAAGACCCAATCTTATACCCAAAAAAAAAAATAAAGGAAGAAAAGAAATGTCATTTTTCATCTACCAGAATGATAAATATTAAAAAAAAAACTCTGAGGATACCACTGCCAAGCCTCTGTAGCAACAGGAACCCTTATACATTTGCCAGAAGGTACCAGAAGGTATTTGTGCAATCCCTGTGGAAAACAACTTGCATTTGCCAGCATATTTAAGAATGTACTCACGTCTGACCTAGCATGAATATATGCCCTAAATTAAGAGCTCTTGCACAGTGCGACGGCCACATTCCTAAGACTGTTCATAAAATCTCTGCTTGATGTGGCCAAACACTAGAAAGGACCCAGAGGTCTGTCCACGGATAATGGCTAATACCATAACTCATATACTTATGCAACAAAACAAATGCCATACCACTCTAGGAGTGAACGAATTAGACACAGACACATGTGTCGCACTATCGTGTGAGGTTTTGCGTTTGACCACTGGAGCCCCATGAACTTAATTCTGGCTTTCAGTTTCTCTTTAGGTCTTGGCCCACTTAAAAAATGACCCCACTTCTGCGTGAGCCGTGGAGCTCACCAGGACCGACAAGGATGCTCAGATGGACCTCCTGGCACTCCAGGTGACCGGACCTTCCAAGGTCTCTTAACATCCCTCGCTCCAGCATATGCTCTGCTGGCATTTACACAAAGCTCAAAGCACTGTGCAAAGTTAAACAATGCATTGATAAGTGACATCTAAATATGTAAAAAACAATGAAGAAATGCCAAAAAGAAGCTAGAAAGAAACATGCACCAGGCTTCAACGGGATAGTTCATATTGTTGTGGGTCTTTTGGGGGAGAGGGGTTGGTACTGGGGATCGAACTCACCACCTCACACTTGGCACGCAGGCATTTATGCCACCAAGCTAAATCCCCAGCCCCTGCATACTGTATTCCTTGAGTGAAACTATCCTGCCATGTGTTGGTAACACTCTGCTACACGTGTGTGATGCAGATGTGAAGCCACATACACCACACGGACTTACCTATTTAACCAAAGGCTAAAGCTGAGCGCGGTAGTGCTCGCCTGGTAACATTTGGGAAGCTGGGAGGATCAGGTGCTCAAGACAAGCCACAGTGACACTCTGTCTCAAAAAAACATTTTTATAAGAATATAGTAAAAAGCATAGGAACACCTCCTCTATTTTATTAAATGAAGTGTTTCCAGATTCTAGAATCACAAGTAAAGCCAACTGCTAGGGTATGTAGCTTAGTGGTACAGCACTTACCTAACACATGTGAGGTTCTGTATTTGATCACCAGCACTGCAAACAATAAAAGAATAGATTGATAGTAAGTAATAATAAATTTTTAAAACATAAGCATAGAAAAAAGACGAAGAAAATGTATTGTTCAAGTGTTAACCATGGTACCTTTGAGTAACAAATAGGTTTTTTTTCTTCCTTTATTTCTATACATTCTAATTTTCTACAATGAACATGTACTTCTTTTACAAAGAAACTAGACAAACCCTATTGGGCATAGTGGTGTACACTTGTAATTTTAGCATTCAGGAGGCTGAGGCAGAAGGATTACCATGAGGGTTTTTTTTTTTTTTTCCCAGTACTGGGGATCAAACTCACAACCCCATACTTACCAGGCAGGCGCTTGTGCCCCTGAGCTTAATCCCCAGCCCCTACTACAAGTTTAAGGCCAGTCTAAACTATAGAGGAAGATTTTTGTCTAAAAAAAAAATGAAAGAAAAGAAAAAAGACAAACCTCTTCATTGTAAAGATAAATACTAGGCAGTTGAAAGAAAATGAAAACAAACAAACAAACAACATAGGAAAAACCCAACCCAGTGGGTATAAAAATAACTTTCCCTGGGTTTGATCTTCAGGCAGCAAGTCACAATCTCAGGAACTCTTTCTCCGCTGAACTTTTCTGCCTCCCACAAACAAAATTAGGCCAAACATGCCTGGTGGGTTATACTATTCCCTAGGCAGGTAGAAAAGAGAAAACCTTTTGTGCATTTAAGGAAAAAGCACAGCAGGGCTTATTTTTAGATTTACTGTAATCCTATCTCCTAAAAGTCTCTGCCACTGAATGAACTCAGAATGTTTGTTTTTCCTTCTTCAAGCGTCATTTGTTGCTGTTGGTGGTGTGCGTGCATGTGCATACTTGTGGAAGCGCGTGCAACACAGCCTGACTGTATAGAGACTTCCCTTCAGACTAGCAAGTCCCCTGGCATATATCTGATTTGGCCTCGGCCCTTTGCTGGCTTCAGCATTTGCTAAATTATTTCCTGGGAGGAGATTAGGAACTTGGGCAGTGATAATAATAGTAGCAATAATAGTCAGCTGGGATTCTAGTCCCCTGATGGTCCTGCAGAAACTGGGACATAAAAGGGTGAATTTTGTCAGAGAAAGGAAGCACCCAGCACTAGAGGGCACAGGCTGCAGCCAGCTTTCCTTAACCCTTGCCCTGGGACCCCAACCCCAGTCCCTTTCTCCTCCAAGCTGTCCCAAGACTAGTTCGTGGGCTCCACTCAAGGGCCCTTACAGATCTCAGCTGGGTGTGGTGGTGCACACTGCAATCCCAGCACTCGGAATGTCCTAGCAGGAGGACTGCTGCGAGTTCAAGGCCAACCTGGACTAATAGTGAGTTCAAAGCCAGTGTGTGGACCACACACGAGACCTTGTCTCATACGGAGACAAGGAGAGGGAGATGGAGAGGGAGAGGAGAGACCAGACGAGCAGTATATTCATCAGAACAGCTTACGTTCTTTCAGTCCCAGCCACATGCCAGATATCACCAGGCACTTCACACTAAACTAGCTCACTCACCCCTCCTGACAACATAACGAACTGAACGGGATGGTGGCACACACCTTAACCCCAGCACTCAGAAGCCAAGGCAGGAGGATTGCTGTGAGTTTGAGGCCACCTTGGGCTACCTTGCGAGTTCAAGGCCAGCCTGAACTGCATAGTGAGACCCTGTCTTGAAAAAACAAAAAGAAAAGATTGTGAACTAGATGAGGGGGCAGTGTTTCTCATAGGAAGAAACGTGGTTTCAAAGTGGTGAAGTGACTTGCCCTCAGCCTTAAATTCTTTAGGGACTCGGTGCTAAGACTTGACCCAGGCATTGGGCCCTCCGAGCTTAAAGCTACTTCCAGCTCTGCCACCAGGCCACTCCTCTCTGTGTTCCCACCTTCTAGAAAAGTGATGGGAACCTTTCGCAGCATTCACTGATAACAGACAGCCAGGGTGGCACTCCTACCGCAGGTTTGCCACCACTCTTCTAGAATGTCCTCTTGGCCTGCCAGATCTAAGGGTACCTCCTGCCAGGCATGGGGGTACCTGCCTGCAATCCCAGCCTCAGGAGGCCAAGGCAGGAGGATTACCATGAGTTCAAGTCCAGCCTGGACTAGGTAGCGAAACCCTGCTCCCAACAAAAGCACCTCCTCCCGAAGCTTTTCCCAGTTTCATTTAACATTAGTTCATTCATTCACTCGAGACATTTGTGATAGGTTCTGCCTGTGTAGAACTCTGTCAAGCCCAGTATGTTGCCTGCCCAGCGCAGCACTGGTCCCTATAAAATGACAGCGTGTCCCTCCAATACTGATTTCCAAGGTCTTCTTCCAAGTCCAAGTTGGACTTTGCTCTGTGCAAGCACCAGCGTCTCCCCAGTCAGCTGTCAGTACCTTGTTCTGCCCGCCTCTTCGAACTCCACTCCCTGTCCACCTAAGAAAAGGAACCAGCTTTCTTGTCTGTCCCAGAAGGATTCCAAGCTCTGCTGCAGCCTTCCTGTGCCCGCAATAAAGGCCTTGCTCCTTTTTCTGACTTTGTTTCTCTACCGTGCCCAAAAACCTAATAACTTGTATTAAGCAGGTACTATGTGAGGAGCACTGGGAATTGCATCATGCATACTGAGCAGGAGCTGGAAGGCGAGAGTTAACTGCAAGCACTGGCAGAAGCGGGGAGTCACCAGAAGGACCTGCCCATGGACTCAGAGGGACCGGACAGACACCGCAGATGGAACACCACTGCACACACCCGAGTCATAGACAGGAGCCCTGCAGGGTCATCCTCACGTCATCAGAGTGCAGTGGAAACACACCTGTGAAGCCCCCAGCACAAATTCTTCCACACAGTAGGTTCCCATCAAATGGCATATCCTTTCTGGTACATTTTTTTTTTTCTTTTGGAGAATAAAAATCACCTTGGGGGTCAATGCCTTATGATTTCTGTAGGTATCAGAATTCTGAACCTAAGGACAGGATACTGAGCAGGTCGACCCCGTATCCATGAGTTACCACATCTGTCACTTAAGTGCCACTGAAGGAGAAGCCTTCATTCCTCTTTCCCACCACCATGTCCTCGATGCTAAGCAGAGCTTGGCAGAGTACTGAGCTGGGCATGTTTGTTGTGAGAGTGTCTGATGGCCTCACTCATCCACCAGCCAATGGTCTCAAAGATTTGGTCTCTTACCAACAGCCCCAACATCCTGAAGAACTACTTGGAAATGCAGATTCTCAGGTCCCAACCCAGGCCCACTGAATCAGAAACTCTGTGTTGGGGCCCAGGAATCAGTATTTTAACAAGGGCCAGGAGCTGCTTGATTCTGTACAGCAGTTCTCCAGAGTGAGCTCCTAGACAGCAGGCTTGGTTTACTGAGGTCTAAGAGCACAGCCCTGAGTGAAGCCGCCACTGTGCCTCGCTGTAAAACTCAGCCAACAGGAAGAAAATCAGGACCAAAGTGGTTAAGAAAGAGGCCCTCTGCTAGGATTGCTGGGGGGGTGATGCACACCTATAATCCCAGCACTCGGAAGGCTGAGGCAGGTGGATTGTTGGGAGTTCAAGGCCTGCCTGTACCATACAGTGAGACCTCATCCTATACAATAAACGAAGAGGCCTCCCCACTTCCACTGTCTCCAGATGGGGGCTCCTCCCTCTGCCAAAGGTGCCCTTCCTTTTCCATACAACTAAGCTCCAACACTAAAGTCCCCTCTTCTGGGAGTTTTGGGGAGCAATTCCCAGAAAAAAACGAATTGTCCCTTGCCTGTGCTGCCCGGGGCCAGAGGACAGGCTTCCACGATGGCCAGCATCTCATCAACCGCATGAGCTGGTTTAGAAATAGCTCTGCATGTGTGCTCTCTGGCACTGGTGCCACTAACCAGACAAGACTGCTGGGCAGCACCAAGAGGCTGAGTCCAAGTTCCAACTCTAGATTTTGAAAATGTAGTACAAATAAAAGAATGCAGAGTATCTCATTAATAATATTTTTTTCAAAAACAATGTTTATTTTGAGCCAAGTATTGTGTTACATGCCTATAATCCCAGCATTCAAGAGGCTGAGGCAGGAGGATTGCTGCAAGTTTGAGGCCAGCCTGGGTAAGCAAGTTCAAGGCCAGTTTGAACTACACAGCAAAAACCTTGACTCAAATAATCCAGTAATGATGATGAGGATGACAATGGTGATATATATCACTTGAACTATAATTCTATTGAGCAGTGCTCGCTGAAAGGTCAGATTGCCATCACAGTGGTTGCCAGGCTACAAGAAAGCTCATTCACAACGGGCAATGCCCACTTCCTCTTTTATGTACAGTAAATATTCAATAAGCAGATAAGTGGAAATTTTTTTTAAAAAATCACAAATCTCTCAAGGCAAAAAATTGAAAAAAAAAAAAAGGAAAGAAAGAAAAAAGAAAAAGATCACATCTGATATCAACACTGGGCATCAATTCAGTTTGGTCCAACTCAGCACTCAAAGAAAAAAACAAGTTTGGGGGGCCTGCAGGTGCCGGCCCTGAGGAGCCAGATAATTTCACGCAGCTCAGTTCTGCTCTTAACCCTGACGACTGCCTGCTGGGGGCCCACCCAGACTCATCAGGAACACAGGATCAGTCACTGCAGCCTGTCACAGACTGGAGCATGCAGGAGGGGAAGAAGTCCCACCCCCACCCCTTGCCTGGCCTAGATTTTCTGGAAAGCTACAGAGTGTGCAGACACTGTGTTCCTTGGATTTATAGCTCATTTTAAAATGTTTTGGGTGAGGCCTAAAGCTTTACATGCAACGTTGTTTTCTTTGTCTTTAAATACGATTTCTCTCAAAGAAAAGAATTTAGGAAAGCTGAAGCGAAGGAGGCCACTGAGGAAAAGAAGCAAGCTCCTGTTGCCTGTCTCTCTGAGTCATTCAGAAAATCTTGGTCCATGTCTAGGGGACCAGAGGGAAAGCTTGCCTTGCCAGTCCTGTAAGTATTGAAGAGGCTAGCAGCACAGCGGAAGCCCAGGGCCACAGTTCTCATCTGTGCAGTTATGTA